ACTTTTGTGTCCAATAATGTGGTGTCGAATCGTACTGTGGTCAATAGAGTATCACCCGCTTCTCCTACCTCTTTGCTTTTGTATATTCTATTGTATATCAAGATGATGTTTAGATTTCCTTCCTTGTCCTCCTTCCTTATATGTAATATATCTTCTTCATAACCTGTTTCCACTATCTTCCAGCTGCTTTCTTTCCAATCTTTCTTTATTCCTACCTTTAAACCTCCCCTTGTTCTTTCTTTGCCTCTTACCTTTGTTGCGTACCTACAGAATCACACGTGCGTATTTGGAAGTTTGCCTCTCAACCCTTCCCATCCTTTTTTGGTAATCCATGTGTCGCTTAATCCTATGTAGTCAAATGCTTTAGCAAAATTCCAAAATTTTAAGTCTTTATTTCCTATGCCCGCTACATTCCAAAATAACACTTTCCTCGATTTTGCTTTCCTCTGTTTTCTTTCCTTAGTTTCATCTCTCTCTCTTCTTGGCCTCCTTCTAGTTTTCCTCTTCTCTAACCTCCTTATCTTCCAGTTCCTTGTCTTCTTTCTCTCTCCGTTTTCCTGCCTCCATTTCTCTCTGTATATCTCTCCATTGTCTCCAATTTCCTTTAATCTTTACTTTTCTTGTTCCTATTTTCACCTCTTCTCCTTTTTCTCTTTTTTCTTTCGCCCATCTATGAATTTTCTCCTGAATTTTTCTTTCCTCCCATGACAAGTCATTCTAGATAAATATCTTCTCTCCTTTCAGCTTGTTTTTATTTTCCATCACCGCTCTCTTTTCTTCTTTACTGCTTAATCTAATTACTATTACCTTGTTGCTTACTCTGCCATATTCCACGTTGCAATCCAGCCCTAATTTAGTCTTGAAAAAGAATTTTGCCCATCTCTTTGGTTCCTCTTTTATCACTTTTATTTCTTTCTCCTCTACTATCCCTTTCACTACCACATTCTTTCTTCTTTCCTCTTTTTCTTTGTCGGTAATAATACTTTTTATTTTGTTTATTTCCCTTACACTTAGCCTATCCAAGCTTCTTTCCAATGTCGAACCTACGTAGCTGCTCATTCTTCTGCTTACTGCACTCGCTGCACTTGCTACACTTTTCCCGCACAATTCCTCTCTCTCCGCTAGCCAGTATCCCTCTCTCTCTTCATCTCTTTCCTTTATTTCTTTAGCTACTTTACCTACTTCTTCCATCTTTTCTTCCAATATCCTTATCTTGATTTCCCATATTTGCTCTTTCTTTTTCCATTCTTCCATGAATTCTTTGAATCTTTTCTTTTCTAAATCTAATTCCGACCTTATCTTCTCTACACTTTCCATTTCACCCTCCTCCCCTCGTCTCTTTCTTGTCTCCATCTCCGTAATTGTCACCTTTTTCTTCTCCGTCTTACTCGCCTCCTTTCCTCCTATCGGAAACTCTAATTGTCTTTGCTTCTCTTCTTTCTCTTTCCTCAGTTTTGTTAATCTTCCTACCTTTCCTGCCTCCGCATCTTTTGCCGCCATAACCTCTTATCTCCCGCCTTCCTTTCCTTCCTGTTTTCTCTTCCCGCTTCTATCCGATCACTTTGCCTTTATTTCTTCTCCTATTTCTTTAACTTCCACGTCTGTTTCTACTACTTACACTAACTTCCCTATTCTCTTTGTCTAACAAAATTGCTATTATATCGCACGTTCTCACAATCACGTATGTGCTCACGCACGCCACCTAACCAAGTCCTATTACGTTTTTTATTTATTTATTGCATGTTATAAAAGTGCATTTTTTGCATAAAAAATCCGTGATGTAAAAACTACGGTAAAAATAATTAGATTGTTACTAATTTGTGTTCTGTTTGTAAAAAACGGATAAATAATTGTACCCAACATGTAAAAAATGTAATAACAATATAACTGTCATATAACATTACAGAAATGTTATATGACAGTTATAGTGTCATTACCAGCTAATAAGCAACATAATAGGTATATAACATAATTATATAACATAGTTACATTACAATTATAAAACAAAGTTATATAACATTGATGTTAATAAAGTATAACAGCTGTTATATTACGTGTTAATTCTATCACACGCACGTACATACAACCAAGTAAACTTATGTATATTAAAGTTTTCAGTTTACTATAATATAATAATGTATATACAAAAACTACAAATGTTTATATTCTTTTTTAGAGAAACTAAAAAAACTTAAAATATAAAGTGTGTGATACTCTAAGGAACAAAATATAAAGTGTGTGATACTCTAAAAACTTACCTTTT